CACAAACGTTGCATGGAGTATTTATTCGACATTTTCATATTCTGAAAAATAATGTTTGTGGAAGGATTTTGTAGAGGGTGATTGCGTTCTAGATTCAATTTGAATTGCAAAAATCTTTCGATACAGCAGAGCTCAGAACCTGTGTAGTTTAGATTATTATATCAGATTAGAGTAAAAGTATCTCAGATTATACTGTACTTTTTAGACAACTTCATTTTAAAGCTAGCCTGACCTAACGAGATGGAGAAATGGATGTGGCAATGTGTGATTTTTCTTCTTTTTTTATGTTTTCTGTTTTTTAATTATAATTATATAATTACTATAATAATTAAAAAAAGATTATTTGTAAGATAAAAATAAACAAAAAGAAGACAAGTAATTACGTAAGTCACGGATGATTCATTCCGATCAGCAGGCTATTTTTAATTTCTCGTTCGTTATTTTCACTTATGAGAAAATTATTTTTACGGTCTGGTCAGCTACTGGTGATAATATTAGGTTTCCTAAATATTAGAGAAATATTCTCTAAAATACGGATCAATATTAGTGACTCTCTATGGCATCGTGCCGATAGTTTAAAGATTAATGACAGCTTCGGCAAAGCAAAAATTTGCTTAAAGGCACGGAAATTGGGACATCTACTCGTACCTCGCTTTCGCTCATTATATCTATTCTCTTACTTCGTCGCGTTGTCATCGAATCAATTCATAGAAGACAAACCCTGTTACGCGAGAATTTTAATCCCGGCTCAACTAAACCGACTAACAGGGATCAATGTGCATAAGGGTCACTTTGACGTGATCAAAAATTACTTTATATTTTAAAACAATAGTACACTTAATAGAAGCAAACATTTGATTGACATAAGTTTTTATGACACATTTTATGATTTTTATTTCACAATGGTATGAACTATAAAAACAGAACAGTGTTAATTTTGTTTTAAATGCTTAGGTCTTAAACGTCATCGCTCTAAGGTCCTTTTTTTATGGTGTGCAGGATTTCTGTCAACCGGATTACCTGGAATAAAAATGCAAAAAATACTTGAAACTAAGATACAATCTCTAATGTTCTCGATCGAACATTTCCATTTTTGTGAAGATTGTCAAAATGGCAGCTATTTATGTTTGACCTATCTAATTTGTACAAAAAATTTGTATGTTTTTCGTTTATATTTTTCGAAATTATTAAAAAATAGAAAAAAATGGATCTTCGATGCCTAATATGTATTATACTAAAGGTATCTGGAAAATTTAAAGGTAATCGGTTCATTACATCTCGAGATATCTTGCACACCGTTTTTTAAAACAGTTTCGAGAGAAACGCGTTTAAAGTTTCCGAACGTAATTTGTCATATGTTTAACGCTACGGCTCGCAGATATACGAATCAGGTACCGGCTTCTTATCTCTACAAATAATTTGTTTTAAAGGTTGTAACCTCCTGAAATTTATTTTTAAGACCTCAAACTACTATTTCAAACAAAAAACAACAATTCGATCATTCCGAAATTTCAATATAGTTAGACTATTTAATTGAATCTATAATCAATATGCCTGTACAAGAACACATAAACATTGAGAATTATCGTCGTTAACAACGTTACATTCGTCGATTGACATTTTCGAATAAGTACGTTAATTACCAATTTTTTTTTAATTTTTAGATCGTACAAAATTCAGATTTTATTAGCATCAAAATATAGCAGGAAAAGTTGATGTTGGACAAAGATGCAAAAGAGTTTCGAATTGTCCGGGTAAATACGGATACGAATCGTGCATTTAGCTTTTTCAGCCGATTCGCTCTGTTTCCATCTTAACTAGATTCTCTTTTGTAATTCTCTCGAAGCGCTTATACACGCAATGTAGACGCTCTGTATTTAACATTAAATATTGTATCCTTCGTATCGTATCGTAACAAATGTCAACTAAAAGAATCATTCAAAAAAAAAGAATAGATGTAATTGTTGACAAACCAAAAAATGTTTTGATGCTTATAATCTCGGAAATACGGCTTGGAGATTTTCTGAAATTTCTACGAGAACTCCGAAAATACTGAAACACAGATGTAAGATTGATAGAAAATTTAATTTGTGGAATACATATTAGGCCGAGTTATAAATAATTTCCATTTTTTATCGGACATTTATTTTGTTTTTCTTATTAATTTTTTTATATTTTATTTATCTTGTATCCTTATCTATTTAGTGAAAGCAAAAATTCATTTGTTCCGATGACTCATAGTGGATAGATAACGAACAATAGATTCTACCTAGCTCCATCGTAAGTTATTTATGACTCGACCCAATATTTTTAGATCTTAGCTGTGGTTCGGCTGAGTAGCTCTATGTACATATTACTGGTTTCAAGTCCACTGATAAATGATTCAATGAAATGTCAAAAATATCCGCTCGTTCAACTCAGAAATAATGAAGTTACTAGAAAAACTTTTGGTTGACCAACCGTATTATCAAGGGCTGTCTCACTGTCCAGTCAGTTGTTTTCGAGTTAACTGTTTAAACTCCAGGAATTCGCATCCGCGTTACTCATCCTCCACGCCAGGGCTCGGAATTATCGGCACGCAACGCAAGGATCGCGAGAGCTACGCCTCCTGACTCGTCGCGTAACTCGCTCACCCGTGGTCGCCTAAATGCTTCGTGCACGCAAACACAGAGCAGCAGGCACACGCGCCTGATGTGCCCCGAGCACACGCGACAGCAGTCAGAGCAGTGTACTCAAGAAAAATCACTGCGCAAGGAGCGGGGCGGCGACGCATGCGCAGAGAGTCCAGCATAGCGGCGCGGGGTGTCTACCGGCCGAACATTATACAGGGTGTCTCATAATTATGCTAACACCCGGAAAGGGGTGATTCCTGAGGTCATTTGAAGTAACTTTTTCCTTAGCGAAAATGCAATCCGCGACTACGTTTACGAGTTATTAACGGAAAAACAGTGACCAATGAAAACAGTGTCCCTCGCCGCTGTGCGAGATTTCCTGCGCATGCGTCGCCACCACACTCCTTGTGTAGTGACTTTTCGTGACTGCACTGAGTGTAGAACATTGCAAGCGAAATCGAATCGATCTTCACACGTTCATGAAATACCAATCAACCACCATTCTACCTTTTCTTTGAAATCTTGTACGCATGTGATTCTGTATAGTGTACCTGTAGTCTAAAATTTAACGAAAGTTCTTTTGCAAATATCTCAGAAGTTAAAGCCAAACGACATTAACGTTAGTATTCGTAGATATTTCAGATTAGGTTTCCGTTAGATTAAATGAAAACAATATTTGCAGAAGTAATTGTAATTCATATTTATTATATTTATGATTAAATTATAGTAGATAACATTATGTGGTAGGAAATATTTCTGCCATTGTTTTGAATAATGCTTTTATACGGGTGTTAAAATCATGCTAATGATGAAATTAAAAATTGACGATATAACCGACACAGCGTTCTTTTCGTATGTAACCCAACGTGTGAACAGTACTAAAACTATGTAATGTAGGACTCCACACATTAATAACATTCATGCTGTAAGCAGGAAATACATATTGTACTTGAAATGTATTTTCGTGAATACTTGGAAACCAGAGTCGACCAGCGGTAACATATATGCAATAGGAAAGAATTGTTTAAAACGATGATCTTGATATCATATTTCAAGGTCATTGAAATCGGTGCTGTGATGATCCTATTCCAAATAATTACCGAAGTTAGAGAATTACGTTCAAATTATAAAATCCACTACCTTTAATCTTCATCTGACTTTGGCTGGTAGAATCATTTCGAAATATTTATTACACGTGATCAAACATCTTCTGCAATAAATTCATGCTTCTTTTATTTTTCAGGACAACCAAGTGGATACGGTGAACAAAACGTCGCGTATGTATCTCCTATTTTTAACAATACATTATTTCTAGATATGAGTTTTATGTAAGGTTATGTTCACCGCGAACTTTCTTTACAATGGCTTGCAGCCATACTATAAAATTTGAGACAGTATTCTTGATCTTTTAATTACACTTTCGTGAATTTCTTCTTACAATATCGTTTCCATAACTGCCAAAAATATCTACTATAGGTGAACAAAGTTTTGCTGTAATTATAACTGTAAATGAAAAATTCTTTGCAGTACGATTTACAGTGATATTCGAGAAACAAAATATGTTCTTACCATTTTGTCGAGTCGCGAAGGGAGAATTGTTAAAAATGGTTGCAAACGCACGCGCGCGCGCGTGTGTCATAGTGATTGAACTAACCTAAATCTTAGGCTTCGCCTTAATCTTTTTCAATTACTGGATATATTTCGAAATCATCTATGAGGAAATTAGTAGATGAATTAACGCCTAGGACGCATCGCGGAAAGAGTAACAGGAAAGGAGATTTCGTTTCTTTTACTGTATATATAATCTAAACAATAAGAAGTCTCTGCTATAGCTCTGATATTTATTATTATAAGATCCGTCTGTTGTGAGTAGAGAAGTGTAAACACTTCTCTTCGTGTCTTATGTCACAGTTCGCAAAAAGTATATTTTTGTTTTTAAATCAGTGAGTGGAAGTGGTTATTGCGAACTGTGAAACTGTTAAAATTGTTCCTTGCAAAAGCATTACATTTACTATAATTAATATAATAAGTGTATTATAAAAGTAGTATAACATAATTAGTGTAGTACACAGGGTGTCCCAAAAGAGACTCAAAATCAAGAAATGAGGGCTTCCTGAGGTCATTTGAAGTAACTTTTTCCTTAGTGCAAATGCAATACGCGGCTTCGTTTATGAATTATTAACGAAAAACAGTGACCAGTGAGAGGTGAGATCAATTGGCGCGAAGTTGCCGAGCCAATGAGCGGAACTGGACTTCGTCTGCTCGTGGCTCGGCCGCCTTGCGTCAGTTAATTTTGCCTCCCATTGGTCAACGTTTTTCGTAAATAACTCGTGAACAAAGCCACGGATCGCATTTGTGCTAAGGAAAAAGTTGCTTCAAATGACCGTAAGAACTCTCATTTTCCGATTTTGAGTAACTTTTGGGACACCCTGTAATAATATTTTCGTCTTCTGAGGTGGTTCAAGATCATTTATGATAATTTAAATTCTCCATTTACTGAATGGCTACACACAAGATTTTTCTCGTTACAGTTAAAGTGTTTTATTATTTCATCCGGCCTTAACGGAGCATTTTACACCCGTTTTTACTAAATGCAGATCTATTTTTACAGCGAAAGCGTGTTCCGGAATTTGCATGGCGGAGAGAATCGCGGATTACTGCGATGCCGTTTTGGTGATAGACACTCTGTGCAAGCCAGGATTAAAATGCTGCGTATCCCGAGACGCATTCGGAGATTCACCGCCGCCGGAATTGTTGGTGATCGATCGGACGAATTCGAGTCGTTTCGACGAAAAGACCGGCATTAGCACGTTGCACAAAGGACCTTCGTCTTCCACGGTCGCAAGACCGAATGTGTCCACTTCAACGAGCGTAGCGACAACCGCGTTAACTACGACCGTCGCGATGACAAAACAGTCGACGACAACGATAAGGCCGAAGATCGCATCGAAGAAACCGTGCAAAGGTGAATGCGTCAGCGGTTTCTTTGCCCTGCTTTGCGACAAGGTCGACGGCGAAGCTGAATGTCCTGACGATGGGTCCTGTTGTGTCATCGATGCATTCTTAAAAACGGTAACGAATTCAATAAAAACTGTATGGTGCACGTCTAGTCCTCACGCGACAAGAAGGCACATTTGTGTTTACATTCCCCCTCTTACTAACTGCCCCACTGTTGCAGCCACTATCGGTCACTATTGGCCGAAAACGGTGACGAAGATCGACAGTGATCAATAGCGACTGATAGCTACGGCAGTGGAGCAGCTAGTAAGAGAGGGGATGTAAAGACAAAGGTGATTTCCTGCCGCGCGAGGACTATACGTGCATCGTACAGTTTAAAAAAAAAATAACAAATTTTCCTGATATTTATTTAGTTCTTAATTCCTTTTCTATGATACTCCAAACATGTGTCTCGCTTTACTTGTATTTTGCAACATATGGACCATAGGATAGATGCTTAAAACGGAGAAAAATTGTCAAACATGGAATAGTATACCAATCATAATAAGTAGTGCCATTCCTAAAAATCTAATGGACTCTAGTTTTTGTAAATTTTATAATTTTATTATCCCCAATTGATTCACAGTACGTATCATAAACGCACCAACCTTCAAAATAATTTAGGCTTTTGGAAATTGAAAAATATAGTTATAGTCATAAACGCAATACAGTAAATTCTCTCAAATTGTCCCTCAACTTAGAAACAAAAATGGACAATTTGTGAAGAGGAAATACGATTATTCGAGTCTCGCGGCACGTTTTTATAATTGTTGATAATGGGCTGAAGTCTTACGAGAATCTTTTGCTTATTGCGATTGCTTTGTATGAGTGGCATTCGAAAAACAGTATGATATCCCATATCTAACTACTTTCTCTCGAGATAGTTTCGTTCTAGTGGCAATAGCATAATAGATATTTATTCTGTGACAAGAATTAAACAAATATAAAAATTGTTTTTGCTGAAATTAAGTATCATACAAATATATTTTCCATCGATTGTAGTAATTTCGACTCTATTTGAACAATTAGGAAAGTACAACAACAATTCGGCCAACCACAAAATCGCCGCAACCGAAACTACAGTCATGCCCTGGATTTTGTTTACTAACAATCATGGCAGCCTTCTGTGAACGGCCAAATTTGATAATACCGAAGACGTCCACCTGCCAATCTGCATATATCTGTTGTGATAACACAAAAAGCCCGCCGCAGGTAATGTACATTTATTTAGTCTTGTATAACAGTGGTTATCAACTTGGGATACACGATTTAAGAACGATTTAGTAACACTTTATTTAAAATTTTAATTCCACCATATCAATAATTATATGAAATTTATTTAAAAAATGTAATTAGAAAACACGTTTAAAGATGAATATTTTATAGATATCATTTATCACCTAGGAGATTGCTTTTCTTGATCGTGACGCATTGCAAAAAAATGTTGATAACGTTATTTAGTATTTTCTCTCCGGTTTTATTCAGTCAAACGTTTAATTTTAGGAATTACCATTTATAATTTCTTAAAATAAAATTATATTTATAATGGACTAGTGCAGACTTTTACAAATTGAAATATTTTCAATTGCAATTTTTTAAAAAGGTCCTTCTAATATCTGCGAAAAAGAATTCAAGTTATATCATTCTATTTTTAAAAAGATAAAATATCTTAAAGGGAGGAGTACCGATATCGTTTTACTGACTGTACATTTTTAGCGGATGTATGAAGCGTGAAAGGTTGAGAACCACTGTTATACAGAGTGCCTCAACTAAAAGCAGGCCACCTAAACATCTTAATTGCTTTTAATGTTCTGAAAAATGTTTTTAACGGGACAAAAACATTCATTGTAATGAACATGTTTACTTATGTTCTTTCTGTTCCTTTTTCAAGGCCATCGACATTTCTTGTGCAAGAAAAGTGAATTTTTTTCTGTTGTATCTCGTAGCAGGCTAATTTAGCGGAACTTACATTCTATATTATTGAATATTGCTACAAGATGCAATAGAAAAAAATAATCATTTATTGCATTAGAATCCTGATAAATAAGCGTAATTAAGAAATTTTTTCTCTCGCTATATACTTCTTTGAAAATCATTCAAATTGAGCCACAAACATTTATCATGAAAAACAATGAAGATATTTAGATGGCCTCCTTTAGCTGAACGCCCTGTATAAAACTAAAAAGCACATATACATTAGGGCAAATAAGATAACGGATAATCTATAATTTAAAAAGGACTGAAATCAAACATTGGTACGTAGAAAATAAACATAGTGACACCATCTTCTTCGTATCAGACTCCAAGGCCGAGGCCGAAGCCTACATCACGGCCGCAGATTACAACGGTTTTATTGCCGCCGGATCCTCGCCCAGAATGTCCTGGTTCCTGTATCGTTTCTTACTTGTCTTTCACTTGCTTCAGTAAGTATTCGTTCATCTTAGATTGTATTTCTTATAAAGGGCTTCGAGCGCAGAATGAAATCAATAAGTATTTTTCCAAATATCAATTTTCCTTGACAATCCCATTTTTTAATACATATTTCCATTAAATGTTTAGCCATAATGCTATACAGCTAGAATAACTTTCTTTTTACACAGAGTGTCCTAAAAGTTACACAAATCGGGAAATGAGGGATTCCTGAGGTCATTTGAAATAACTTTTCCCTTAGCACAAATGCAATCCGCGGCTTTTTTTACGAGATATTACCAACAAGACCGACCAATGAGAGACGACATTAACTGGCGCGAGGCGGTCGAGTCAACGAGCGTTCAAAGTCCAGTTCCGCTTATTGGCTCGGACGCTTAGTGCCAGCCGAGCTCGCCTCTCATTGGTCAGTGTTTTTCGTTAATAACACATAAACAAAGCCGCGGATTGGAATTGTGCTAAGGAAACACTTATTTCAAATGATCTCAGAAACCCCTCATTTTACGGAAGTAACATAATTTTGGGACACCTTGTATACCTAGAATAACTTTGTATTTATATAGTATCCGGTACAAGCTAGATTGTCATATAAAATTCTGTGTCAGTATAAAAACAAATGTACGCCATTATTCAATATTTTTAAGAAATTTGACTTTAATGTCTAAAGTTTAAATATATCAGACGTCATGAATCTGTAAAATAGATGCAGAAGAAATATTTATTTTAGTTTCACAGTCCAGGAATGGACATTGTTTACTGTTACATTATATTTAGATAGATGTATACATACAGTATAGATTCATACACATACATATGCAATGCCGTAAATTATTTTTTGAATCAGAATCTCGTGATATTCATAAGTTGATATTATTGTTTATAATATGTTCCTCAGGTATTAATTTGTACTACAGAAGAAAAGTTCATGAACGTCGAGTAAGAACCATCATTCAAAAACTAAAAAGAGTCTGATTAATAATAATACATTTGGTACTATAGAAAGTCATTTGTAACGGACATACAGTGACTCGCATTAATATTCGGGCACGATATTGTTAGGAGAATTATTGCTCCTTTTTATTGTTTATGTCTTAAATTTGAAATGATTAATTCTGTATTTACTTTACGCCACAGCATTTTTGGACTGTCAGATCCGTAAAGATTAAATTTGCTTTCATCCGAAAATATTACATCATTCCACCACCAGTTGTCTCTGTAAAAATATTCTTTTGCAAATTTAAGACCGACAGAGTGAAACACGGTGGTAGGAGTGTAATAGTGTGGGGTCATAGTTATAGTGGAGTCTCGTCTATAGGTGTAGATGAACTAGTTTTTATCGATGATATTATGGATATTATTATACAATTGTCCAAAAGTACTGCATTCTCTTCCTCAATCGTCTGATTTAAATCCAATTGAAAATTTATGAGATCAATTGGACCGCAAAATTCGTACAACACCTACAAAGACAACAACAGACATAAAACAACGTTTGTTAGACGAATGGAAACGGATTTCGCCGGATTATTTAAATAAAATCATCTGTAACATGCCCAAGCGATTACATGAAGTAATAAAACAAAAGGGTCAACCGACAAAATATTAATATTATGATAACATGATTAAAAAGATTTTTTTTTGCGACGTTCAATTTTGTCACAATCTTGTTTATCGCTTATTATACAAAAGAACATGTGCAATAAATA